CCCCCCCCCCCCCCCCCCGTTTCGACCGACACACCATGTTCGAGCGTGAAAGTTCCGCGCGGAGGCTCCTTGACGGCTTTGTTGAGTGTTTCAAGCTTCACAGGCCCGCGGTAGCCGGCGTTGAATGGCACTCCCCTCACGCCCTGCGGACTCCTGTAGTCCTTCAGCGTGATGGACCGGATCAGCGTCCATATGGTGCCCCTCTCACGGTCGAACACGCAGTAGGTGCGGAGTGCGCGGCCCTGGACCATCAGGGTGTAGACGCCATTCGGGGCGTCTCGGTTCTGCAGCACCACGGCCGCGCAGCCGGGGGACGCTGAATGACAGGTAAGACAGAGACATGCGGGAGAACTTTGTGTTCAGAAAGAACTGTCTGGCTACAACTGCACGCTCGACGACTTCGCCCTGCTGCCCACCCTCGCCACCCTAGCTGAAGAGCACCCCCCCACACTGAAGAAGCGCCGCACCGACCTGGAGAAACGACAGGTGGACGGACGCGCAGCCGGCGACACGACCTACATGAACCGGTTTATGAGGGGCAAGGGCTACCTCCCCATCCCCACACCATCCCTTTCGTTCTATGACGGCCAGCCCCACGCACCTGCCGGCCAGGCTGGCGATTCGGCAGCGTCGTCATCGTCGTCTGATGGTCTCGTGGCCATGGATGTGGAGGGCATGCAGGCCTATTTGACGCTTGATCTCTTCAAGCTGACAGGCGATGACATTGCGCGGCTTAAGAGAGATCAGGGGCAGGGTAAGAGGAAGCGGGGCGATGAGGACGGGGGAGACGAGCAAGAAGACGGAGAGCACCGCGAGGTGCCCATTCCCAAGGTCAAGAAGGCCAAGAAGGGGGTCAAGGGCAAGGGCCGGAAGCGCAAGGCTGGGGAGGCCGTGGCACGCAGCTATGACCCCTTTGTCAACCCCAATCTCGACCACAAGGTAAGAACCTGATCCGATGTGCCAGACAGCCACTCATCCACACACCATGTTCGTGTCTGTGTGTCTGTGTGATGTCAGCTGACCATCGGTGACCGGCTGAGCACAGGGGGGTACAGCTGGCTGCCTGACTGCCTAGTCCAATCGGCCGACCTTGAGGACAACATCGTCCTCAACGCTATCGTCAACCATGTGGGCATTGTCGAGGGGTCCCAGCACGTGGAGGTGACGACCGAGGCAGGGGAGGTGTATCGTGCACTCAAGGCGATCGTCACGGTGCCCGTGGGCGTGCTGAACCCCAGCAACACATCCCGTTCGCGTATCGTCTTCGACCCCCCACTCAGCGAGGCCAAGAGGGAGGCGTTTGAGCATGTGGGCGGCGGGGGACACAACAAGGTGAGGAACGCTCCTGACGACAAGCAGTGATAATGGGGAGCAGTGATTGATGACTGCCTTTGACTTCTTGTTGCACTCGTGTAGGTGATAATGAGGTTCAAGGAGTGTTTCTGGGATGAGACCGCCCAGTTCCTCAACACCCCTGACGAGTCCGTGCAGTTCATGAACCTCCACGCATTCGACCCCAGCAAAGCGACCAACACACTGGTGCGCACACGCAACACACACACACACACAGGTGGCGAGCCCTTCATCTCTGAGGTTGCCTTGCCTTGCTTTGCTCTCCCTGTTGGTCCAGGTGGGTCATCTGTTCGGTTACTTCAACGTCGACAGAGAGCAGACCGTCACCAATGCCCTGAAGGTCCTCACCACCATGCAGACCAACGGCATCCGCCCGTCCGTGTCGTCTCTGCGGAAGCTGCTGATCGACGCCGAGGTGACTCAGTGGGACACTGACGTCTTCTCGCTGGGGTCCTACAGCTACTATCGGCCGGGGGGCAGCCTCGAGCACATCGAGGACCTGGCCACTGCTCACCCGGAGCCCGACTCCAAGAACGGGGTCGACACGCGACCTGCCGTCTTCTTCGCGGGCGAGGCCACCAGGTGAGATGAGTGAGGAGGGCAGATGAGATCGGCGCCATATATGTGTTGGTGAGGCCCCGCCTATTCATCCGCCTTTTCCTTCCGATGTGTCTTTGATTGACATCAGTGTGTCGGGCAACCAGTGTGTCCACGGGGCCGTGCACAGTGGCGTGAGGGCGACAACGGAGGCCCTGGCTGCGGTGCATGGCGTCGCACATCCGATGTGGATGGCCTCCGAGGGGTACGAAGAATGATGTTGGTTGTCCGTCGGGGCGGATGGACTACAGTTAGCTCATTTGCTCTTGCTCTCACTGGACTGCTTGCTTAGTGTGCGTCTGTCCTACCCTATCGATTTGTGCTGCTTAGGGGGCGAGGGGTGAAGCGGTGTGATCTCATTCCTGACCTGACCTGTCCGTTCGGCTTATTTGTTCGGGTGACATTCTGTGGTGTGTGCGTGGGTGCGTCGGCTGACACTTGCTCGGGTGTCTGTGGGGGCGGGGGGAGGATGACCGACTCAGAGGTGCATTCAACGAGACAATTACCGCCGTCAGTCCCACACACAGACCAACAACAACACAGCCAGGGTATATCGCTCAAGAATGCGATGCCATGCCATACCGCCCGCGACATGAAGAAATAAATACATCAAAACCACGTGGCAACAGGCAGGCCGTCACCCACCCAAATAAAGTGACATGACATCATCCACACATCAACGGAGCGGCCAGGCCCACAGGCAGGCAGAGCACGAACATCAGGCAGCCGTGTCTTCTTATCCCAGGTAGGGTGCGAAGAAGGGGTCCTCGAGGAGGAAATCAAACTCTCCCCTGCGGCCGTCTGCCAGCTTCTTGCACACCTGGCGGATCTGCACACACATGAGATATACCACACACCACACACAAACAGCAACCAATGAGCAGTACATACATCTTTCTCTCTCCCTCTGTGTGAGAGGCAGACGACACTGACCGTGGAGAGTCGGCAGCTCTCGGTGATGATGGCGAAGGGCACCTGCTTGGGGTTCGTGATGGGCGCCTGCATGACGTGACACAGAGAGAGAGAGAGAAATGACACATGAGCCATGTTGATGGAGACCATCCTCCTCCCCCATGACTCCTCATTCTTTGACTCACTTACCTGCAGTATGGAGAAGATGGAGACGCCGAACTGCGCCATGAGGCCCGACACCTTGTGGATCACACCCACCTTGTCATCTACAATGAACCTGCACACACACACACGCGCACACACACAGAGAGAGAGAGATGCTGCCATGATCCGAGTCCGCCCATCCACCCGCCTCAGCCATGTACCTACCTGAGGTAGAAGTCGGCCTTGAAGTCCGACTCGTAGTTCGTGGCCACCTTCTCTGTCGTGAAACACGGCGGAGCAACCGCTAAACACAACACATCACGACACACTCACACATAGTATCACTCACGACGACCCACCCACGGGGTACCTCCGTCCGCGGCGTTTTGAATGCGGTATGTGAGGTCGAGTATGTCCGACACCACTGAGTTGGCAGTGGGGTACCGACCCGCACCTGGACCGATGTAATACGACTGACCTGACATTGCCAAACAACACACACAGACACAGACACGTCGACCTAACATCGACAGAGCGACGTGGCGTGTCTTATGCGTGTGTGTGTTACCAAGGTTGTGTGAGGTGACTTCGACCACGTTGGTGACGCCATTCACGCGACCGATGGGGTTGGACAAAGACACCTGAACAGACAGACAACGAGCAGCACAGCATGACCATGCTGCAGCACATCCATCCATCCATTGGCTCCCATGCCCACCATGCATGGCGAGAGGAATATGTTGACGACTTGGGCACCGGAGCCGTCGTCCGCCAGCCTCTTCTCTGCCACACCCAGCAGCTTGATCGTGTGGCCCACCATCTTGGCTGCAATCATACACACGCCAACACAGCCATTGAACACACGTGCAGACAGACAGACCCTTCCCTCCCCATCTGTGTTGGCTGACCGTAAGTGAAGTCGATGGCTTTGATTCTGCTGATGCCCTGGCAGTAGACCTTGTCCTCGTCAATGGTCAGCCCGAAGGCCAGCTTGGCCAGCAGACAGAGCTTCGACCTGGCGTCCCACCCCTCCACATCGGCGGACGGGTCGGCCTCGGCGTAGCCCCTGTTCTGCGCGTCGGCGAGGACGGCCTCGTACTTTTTGCTGGGGTCCTCCTCCATCTCGGTCATGATGAAGTTGGTGGTGCCGTTCATGATGCCCACGATCTTGCTCACGTCGTCCCACGCCATTGAGCGGGAGAAGACGTTGATTATGGGGATGCCGCCGCACACGGCCGCCTCGTAGAGCAGGTAGACCTTGGGGTGCTCCTTCTGCACCTTGACGAGGTCGTCGAGGTGCTTGCTGAGGAGCGCCTTGTTGGCCGTCACGACGTGCTTGCCGTTCTGCATGGCCGTCATGACGATGTCCTTGGCCAGCCCCGTACCGCCCATGACCTCCACCACCACATCGACGTCATTGCTCTCCACGACGCTCTTCCAGTCGGTGACGACCTGGCAGCCTTTGGGGATGTCCACGTCCCTCTTCTTGCTGGGACTCTTGACGATGATGCGCTTGAAGGCCACATTGGGGTTGGTCTTGAGCAGATCCACCACACCGCCGCCGACGGTGCCGAAGCCCACCAGCCCGATGTTGACGGGCTGACCCAGCGGCTGTGACATCAGGCGCTGCATCCTCGCGGCTGGTTTGCTCGGTTGAAGTTGAGGCTTGTGAGCAGATGAGTCTTCGCTTTGACAGATCCAAGCCAAGGCGATGCTGGGTCAGCTGCTGCCTTGTGGAAGCCGTGCGGACCCTCTTCTTGCCCTCAGGCTCTCCTTTCTAAGCTCGCAGCCACTGGGCTCCCAGAAGGAGGGAGGGGGACGCCTTCTGTGTGGAAAGGGAGGTATTCAGGAGCGTAGCCAACTCGGTCGGTCAACGTCCGAGCACTGAGACTCATGGACAATAGCGGCAATCATCGCAGCTCAGGTGAGCTCTGCCCCCCACACCCTGCCACACACCTCTCCAGCTGGAGAGCTCTCTGCATTACTCAGTTCGGTGTGTTGGTTGCTGCAGCTCCTCGTGACGCGGCCGCTCGGCAGGCCCTGGCTGATCCTGCCAGGCACCATCGCCGCCAAGTAGATGAAGACCAACACGACACACTTGATGGTGGGCAACAGCAGCCACACACATCGTCATCTCTCAGCCAACCTGCCGCTCGTCTGCCTGTGCGCATACAGAGGAGTTGCAGATGATCCGGGAGGGGAGGTATCCTGGGTTTGGCGAGTCAGAACGACGGCAGGCGCGTTTGGCATTGCATGGCGCCTCGTCGGCTAGCGCGTCCCGTCCCCCCAGCCCTCCCCTCTCCCAGCCCGCCGAGCTCTTTGACCTGTCACTGCCCATCAGCAAGATGGCCGCCATGGCCGTGTCGACTGACGATGCCAAACGAGCCGCTCTCCGCTCGCAGATCGCCACCCGCACTCGGCAACAGGAGCTGCTGGGCCACACTGCGGAGACCGCCAACAGCACCCTGCTCAACGGCGTCCAGCAGCACATCGACAAGGCCATCAGGCGTCTCGGGCTGGCGGACATCTTGGCCTTCGACATTGATGGTGGCGTGGAGGCCGGCTTGAAGGTGATCTATGTGCTGGAGCGGGGCAGTGGCGAGGAGTGGCGGGCAATGGGTCGGTTCCTTCGGCTAATCTTCATCTACCGGCTCACCCCTGCTGATGCGACGCGGCCTCTCCGTCTGTCGGCTGACGCGCTGCCCACAGCAGCGGCCTTCCACCAGCTGCCACTGGCCATGGCCCTCTACAAGATCGTCGGCCACCTGCTGACACGCATGGGGACCCGCCTGGCGCTGCAGCGTCATTGCAGCCTGGCGCTGCAGCACGGCAATGACGGGAGCTATTGGATCGGCCATGAGGCGCCCTTTCGCGTGGTGCCGTTGGGTGACTTGCCGGGCGGCCATCCATACGCTGACGGCTACAAGCGGAGTGACCCTGTCATCCGACGGTGCGGCTGTCTCTTCCGCTCATTCTCGGCATTCCTGCTGGACAGGCTGCACTTCTGGTGGTGGGATGGAGGGGGGGGGGTCAAGATGACGGTGCTCACTGCAAAAATCGGCCGTGACCCTCGCTATGACCGGCTGGTGACCGAGGGCATTACAGGGGATTTGGGCATCACTGTCGACGAACGCTTTGACCATGGCGATCTAAATCATGCTGATGCGAGGGACGGTCGTCGTGTGATGGTGAGCGGCTTCCGGCCGGGCGAGACCGTCGCTGCCTACCTCTATATCGCATTTGGCTACATCGTGCTGCGGACGACCGACACAGGAGGGGATCGGTCTCAGCCGGTCGCTGAGCGCTTACCGGAGTCCATGCCCCTGTGGCGCCGTGTGCTGTGGCGGTACAATCTCGAGAGTGACGTCATCGACAGGGGCTGGATCTGGCTGGTGATTGAACACACACCCTACACACATCTCCGCTTGTCCGTTAGTAACCTTTGTTGGGCATTCAGATGGATCCACCTTCCAAATGCCGCGCCCCCAGGATCGTCCCGTTGGACTATTACGTGAGGGCGAGGGCGGCTGAGGCTGATGGATACCCGTGGAGTCCCGGGCTGGGTGGGCAAGGGAACCAACACATTGCCTACAGATGCCTCAGCTCTCTGCCATCTCTCCATCTCTCCATCTCTCTGTCTCTCTGTCTCTCTGTCTGTCTGTCTGTCTGTCTGCTCAGATGAGATGCGGAGGGCCAATGAGGGGACGCATCCTGGATGGTCAACATTGGACCACGACAAGCGCCGACAAGAGGTAGGTACACACACCAACGTGCAGCGCAGTCACGGGCAGGCAGGCTGCAGACCTGTTTGTCGTCTCCCCTCCTTGGTCACCGTCTGCAGGAGGAGCAAGCATCGCAGGCCAACTCACAGCCATCATATTGGATGGCTTCTTGCCCATACAGTAGACCACCCTCCGCCACACACATGCATCCCGTAAGCACAAGCAGTGCGCCTTGACTGACGATGGTATGTATTGTGTCCATTGCTTATCTGCGGCTGTTGCCCAGGTCGTGTCGAGTGCTGCTGCTGCTGGCGGTGCTGCCGCGGCCTCCTCCTCAAGTCAAGTACGACACGATGAACATACCACACAGATACACACATACACCCTCTGTCTGTCTGTCTGTCTGCTCAGGGCTCCACATCAGCTGCTGAGGCCGCGTCGTCGGTAGCTGACGACACTGTCATCCTTCTGTCTCCTCAGAGGCGCCAGGCACCACTCAAAGCCGAGGCAGAGGCCCTCAGGGGGGAGGTGGCCGCTATGAAGGACCGGCTGGTACGCACGCGACAAGCACCGCACCACTCACACACAGCACCTGCACACAAAGATACCTTCGACACAAATGGTCTGTATGCTGTCTCTTACAGAGCGTCCACGCGGGGCTGGAGAGTGAGGTGGCGAACCTGAAGGCCCAGCTGGCCTGGTTCAAGGCCAAGGAGGAGGAGGAGGAGGTGGCTGCCGACAAGGCAGAGCGGAGCAGGGCGTCCACCAGCCCTACCGCCCCTCCTCCGGCCTCCCTGAAGCCGCCACATCGCGGCGCTGGCAGAGAAGACACCACGCCAAACACGGCGGCGGCTCGCAAACCAGGGGTATGCAAGATATCGCACTTGACACGCACCACTGGAAGCCGTCGTGGCCACATTCGTCCATGGTGTCTGTGTGTGTGGTCAGGTGGACTCGGCGGTGGCTGGACGCCCCCCTGTCGCCCCACAGGTGCTCGCCGCTCCCCCTCTGGCGCACCACATACCCCGCCCAATGCACCACATACCCCACCCGATGCACCGCATCCCCTCTGTCCCCTTCCCGCCCCAGCACCACCCCTTCTCACCGCCCCCATCAGCCTTCGTTCGTCCCCCGGCTGCACACATCGGCGCGGCGGCTCGACCGCCCCACCGACCACCGGCCACTCCAATGCCGCTGACAGCACAGCCACCACTGTATCCTGCGGTGCGGCCGATGTGGCCACCGGTTGACCTCCGAGGAGGCCGCCCTCCACCGCCCCCACAGGCAGGCCAGCCAGAAGGCAGCCAGCAGCACCAGGGCGGCGGGGGGCCGGGTCGGTGAGGCATAGCAGTGATGGGAGGGAGGGAGAGGTGGGCGACGACCTTTAGATAGACAGCATCTTCGGCACCTTTGTTTGTGTGTGAGCGGACAGACAGACAGACAGACAGACGGGGAGGGGGCACAGAGGGACTTAGCACTACAGACATACAGACATGAGAAGGGGCAGAGGCGCTTCCATCCATCCACTTGGATGGTCTGTGCAGTCAGTGAATCGCCTGTGTGTGTGTGTGTGTGCGACTGGCTGGCGGGGATTGACTACTTGAGTGGCTGCCGATTGACTCATGGCTGACGACGCCCCTATGGCTGACATGAGTGGCTGACCTGCCTGCAGTGCTTGTGTCTTGCCGATGAGTGTCACACAGACAGGGCACTGCCCCCGGCACCGCTTCATTGGTTTGCGCCTCTTGCAGTGGACGGATCCATGAATCAGCTAAGCAGATCGGATGCATGCGATGCTCATGAGGCGCAAAGCCCTCTTGGCTGCTATGAAGGGCAAATATCGCCAGAGCCCTTCTCCTCAGCTCGCAAGCTCGCGCAGAAAAGGGGGAGGAGGGATTGCGGAGCCTTTTGGCAAGAAGTATGCTCAGGAAGTGTAGCCGACTCGGTCGGTCAACGTCCGAGCACTGAGACTCATGGATCTTCGCAGCCCAGGTGAGTTCTGAATGGATTGGTCGGTTGCTGCACTGTGCAGCACCTGAGCGTTGTTCGGTGTCATTTGCTGCTGCAGCTTCCGCTGATGCGGCCGTCGGCAGTCCCTTGCTAATCCTCGCTCCCTGGTTCTTCATTCGACAGCAGGCCTGACTGAGTGACTGGTCGATTGTGCCGTTGCTGCCTTACTGCCATCTGACGGTACGCTCATGGACGATAGGAGATTACCCGGGGACTGTCTTATGTGAATGCTGTTCAGGCGGTGTACGTGTTGCTTCGGTAAGCATAGCAGCCAGCATGTTCTCTCTATCTGCTGGATCGGCATCAGCGGCAGGTGGGCTGAACAACTGGCCGAGTAAAGCGAAAGGGAGTGAGGCATCGACCCTCATTTGTGTGGTGTGTGTGGTGGTGTGTTGTATGCGTGTTGGTCAGGTGGTGGACATAGCAATGTGTTTGGACATGATGATAGCCGCAGCCCAACATCAGAGGAGCAGTCGGTGAGCCACGCGGCAGCCACACGCACAGAGACCGTCATGTGCCTATCCACTCTGTGTGTGTGCACTGTGGTGGTCATTCAGAGGTTTGTTGATCTGTTTGGGCGTCTGCTGCACTTGCACGAGCAGATGGCTGCATCGCACTCACAGGTGAACGGACATCTGAAAGAAAAGGCACATGTGCCTACCGCCGACACGGAGACGTCGGGTGCTATGATGCTGTGGTGTGTGGTGTGCGTGTGCAGGCGGGTGAGGCCATTAGGTATCTCGCTGGCAAGGTCAGTCGGCTCTCCCTCCCCTACTGACTCGTGCTTGCATTTGTGTGGCCTGGCCTGTGGGTGCGGTGCAGGGGTCGGTGGCTGCGGGCAGCCTGCCAATGCTGGAGGGTGCCGTCGTGGGCATGTCCGACGCACTGGACCACTTGCAGGCGGAGCTCAAGCGAGTAGACGGCGTGGCACTGGTACGTTCACAATACACACACACATCGTCCATCCGTCGGCTCGTGACGTATGTGGCTTCTACGGTCTGTGTGTTTGTCTTCAGCTGGAGGGCCATGCCAGGAGCTTCGAGCTCGTCGCCCCAGACGCTGAGGCTGCCGACGCCGACGATGAAGACGCCACCCAGGCCACCGAAACGAAGAAGAAGGTACAGCCGGCCACTGCGCGCTACTTTAAGCTCGCATGACGAGACGACCAGTGTGTGGGTGTCACTGCCTCCGTGTCAGGATGAAGGCACGTTGGCGTTCCGGTTCGTTCGTCAGCTGCATGGCCTGCCCGAGCCCCTCATGCACCAGGCCCTCCTCCCCTTCGTAGCCGAGTGGAGCCGCTGCAGCGTCAGTGCCAATCAGGGGCCCCACACCGCACTCGCCAAGATCAGCAGCAGACTTTGCTGTACCTCACCGGCGGTCGGCAGCACCGTGGCGGCCGCCCTGGTGCCGCACATCGACGCCCTCATGGTGCCAGTGGCCGGCGTGATGGGCTACCGTCCTCTGCGTCGATCTCGGGATGTCCGTCGCCCACACTGGCTCGTCCGCCTGCACTATGTGTTGGTGACGGGGGGCGACTGGAAGGGCAATGAGGGGCTGCTGCGGCTGGCCCAGCACCATGGGCGGCTCACGGCGCTGCGCATCCAGCTGAGGGCTGACGACCTGCAGCGTATCGGCACCAAGGCGGTAGTCGACAGGCGTCCCCCCAGTGTGCGACAGTTCACACTCTATGGCCACAGACTGGGCGAGGACCTGCAGCTGACGCGGATGTGGTTTAGCGTGGGACTTAGCGCCTGGCCAGAGAGGTTTCGAGTTCGAGCCGATGCCGGGGACCCTGGCTGCGAAGGTATGTAGTCAAGCGGAGGGTCCCAGAAGGACCCTGGTTGTGCTGTGTACCCTGGTTGTGTTGGTTGTGTGTATAGAAGTAGGGCGGGGGACAGAGTACAGCAGCTTCCGCTCAATGATCATCGAGAGGTGTGCAGGGATTCGCGTAATGGGGCAACACGGGGCAGCAATGTGTCTCCCTCTACTTCCGGTCTCTCCGCTCTTTCTTCCAGGTTGGCGCCGCAGAGGTTGCGGTTGGTGTCATGTCGGTCCTGGCAGCCGCTGTCTGCTGAGTATGACCGCATCAGTGCCCTCATCCACCAGCCGACGCCCTCCTTGTGGGGCTGCCGGACCGTCGACTTCGCCAGCTACGGCCGCCCATGCCGTCTCGTCGCCCTGTGTGGCGACAAGGAGGGCGACGCGTGTCCCGTCTACATCAAGATGACCAGGTTCGAGGGACACTTGGCACGCATCTCCCTCTACACCACCGAGGTGCCCCAGGGCGACGGCTGTGGTGCCGCTGGCTGCCCCGTCACAGCGGCCTGTGTGCGCGACAAGGTGGACGACGAGGCCATAGCCACAGGTACACACGGACGGCCAGGCGTGGTGCACCATCGCATCATCCTGTCGTGTTTGTGTTTTCAGCTGTTCTGTCTGATGAGGGCTGGTTGGGACCAACCTTCTCGATCTTCTTCAGGGTCTCTGAAGGTACGTGGATATGTATGCCCACACGCACACGCACAGACGGAAGGTGGGAACTCTCGCTTCTGTCTCTTCTATTTGTGCAGAGAGGACCGTCACGGTGGACGTGACGCTGTCGGACACGGTTGAGGACATCGCGGCCAAGATGCGACACCAGGAGGACATCCCGGTTGACCCGTGGTTACAGCATCGCAAGTATACAGGCGTGTACATCCAGGTCGGGGAGGAGCGGCATGGGGGCGGCTGGGATGAGATATTCGACAAGAAGGCGACCATGTGGGACATCAGCATCGAGAAGGACTCAACCATCGGCTTCGACACGTCTGGGTCGGTGGGCGGGCGGGCGGGTGGGACGTAGACAGACGGTGTGACTCACCATCCATATCCAGGGGCCCGCATTCTCTCTCTCTCTCTCTCTGTGTGTGTGTGTGTGTGTTTCGTTGATGCAGATACCGCCTGTCAGGAGAAGATGCACCCATTCATACAGAGAAGGAAAGGAGACGGATCAGGAGGATTACAACGAAGTTTACTACGAGTGTGCCCCCAATTGTGTGGCCCTGAATATGTGATTCAGACGGATGGATTGACTGCACACTTGCGTGAATGCGATGGTCATTACAACATATTGTCCCTCACACGCACACCAGTCAGTCTCAGGCATACGTGGACGTATGGAACCGTCCCAATCGCTTGTCATCCAAGTCAGTCTAGTCAGAGGTATGCAGATGCGATGCAATGACGCGATGGATAGATGGATGGAAGCACACCGGCAACAGTAGATGAATGACATACACACACTCACACACACTCACACACACACACACACACAGACATGCAGACAGGCAGACAGCAAGGCAAGACAGAACCAGAAGAGATCGGCGAGGCGCCGGCGCTCGTTTCACTGCGACAGATGCGATGCACACATGCAGCACTCTCTCTCGAGTGTGTCAGTGCTATGGGGCCTGTCTGTCTGTCTATCTATCTACCTAGGTATGTGTCCATGCCTAGCACACAACACATGAACGACGATACAACAACATACAATGTAGTGCCTGCCGCCTGCCTGCCTGCCGGCCTCCATCCAGGTTTCGTTGGGGTGCACCAGGTGCTGGGCATACGATTGGTGGCCGTTCATTGCCACTCGCTGCTGCCTCTTTGCTGCCTTTCCTTCATCCATCCATCCATCCATTTATTCCGTGATGAGCATGACCAGCGGGCGAGGGATGGAGGGAACGAAGGAGTTAGCGGTGCGGGCTTGCATTGCTCCGGCCAAATGAACATAGATGCACCGGTGCATGTGCAATTGCGATCGCCGAGCGCACGGCGGCCGGAATGCCGCGGTCAACGCACTCGATGGGATGGCTGGCAAAGCATCAAATGTCCTCACATGCCGTCCAATCGGTCTTCTTCTCAATGCATCCTGGCAGTGGTGCACAAACATCACTCACGGCATGGAATGGTGGTTCGATCTCTCGAGATCTGACCGGTGCCTCGCTCCGAGATGCCAACGCTTTGCAAGATCTCAGCCTTGGCTGACCAAGCCCTTCTGAAACAAAAGGCAGCCAATGATGACGACAGCAGGACATGCAGATCGGTTACCTTTGCAAAGCCGCACGAGCAGGGGAGAAGACAGCTAATAGGATGCACAAACAGGATGCCAAAGGCCAACTCATTGCGGCAGACGCACCGGCCAGTTTTGCTAGCGATCGCGGCGAGAGAAACTATTCGCGACGCGGCCAAAGGGAGACGGCAAAGTAAAAAAAGGAGGTTGCGAGGAACAAAAGAAGCGAACACGCGCTGCATTCCTTCTCCTTCGAATTCGTCAGTTCACCGGGGCACCATTCCCCCCACAAGACCGGCATGGTGGGCACAGGCACATCTGGCAGGGTGGTCCGAGCGCCATGGCAACGAAAGAAGGGCGGCGTCACACGGTGGCGGCTCTCAGCCTGTTTCTTGTGCCGCCGTGGACGCGAAAGAGCGTCATCGACGCCCATCAGGAGGCACTGTGGCTCAACTATGTCAAGGAGACGGCGGGTGCGAGATGGCAAAAAATTAGTTGAACAGAGGAAGCGGAATACATGAATCTCCTCACCCTTGTCCGATGCCATTCGACAAGTAAAGATCCTCCCTAACGTTGGGTCGCGCCTATGTGCCAGGATGTCTGTGTGTGTGTGTGTGTGTGTGCGTGTGTGTCCAGGCTTCGGCCAGTTTCGGGCCACCCACCGAGCCCTCCTGCCGCCCTGCGAGCCCCAGCAGGTGATGCCGCTGCCTGCCCAGCCCGCCATCGACGACGACCAGGGATGGACGTCCAAGATGGTGGGCCTCATGAGCAGGCCCGGCAACCTGCGGTGAGGCGAGTTGAGGTGTTTCAGTGCACACAGGCACCGCATCCAAACATAAACAGCTCATGGGCGTGTGTGTGTTCCTTGATGAGCAGGGAGACCACCAGATCGACGGCAGCAACTTGGGCGGCCGTCGTACCATGTTCCCTTTTTTCCAAACTAATTGTGTCCGTCCTCTGCTATCATCTGTATTACGGAAGTGGCGGAGCACTCCGACCTGCTTCCTCAGGCCGGGGACACGCCTGTGAGGGCGCCTAGAGGAGGCGGCAAAGGCGTATCGGAGGCTGTAGAAAGAGGTATTGGATGCCACCATGCACGCGATGGTTCCATCTCATCTGGTGTGTGTCATTGTACTCTTTCTCAGAGACGAGGAGCCCCTGCCGGCCGAGATCCTCGACCGGGCGCCGAATGACCCGACCCCCAGGACATGGAATCATTCGTGGCCGACGCCGTTGCTGGCCACGAAGTTCCCTGGAGTGAGCGGGCTTGTGTTCGCACCGAAGACGCCCTATTTGATGCAATGAAGGGTTTGATGTGTGTGGATGTGGTGTGTTTTGCATTGTAGAAATTCAAGCGGCATGCCGTGAGAGGCGTTGCAGCAGCACAGGAGCAATCTGGCAGAGGTATGTCCAAGCGAGAGACATGTTTAGGCCGTTTCCTACCCACCTGATTGATATGTCTCCCACATTCTATCTCCTCAGGCCTTGTGCAAGGAGCGGCCACTGCTGGTTGACGTCGGGGAAAAGCCTCTCGGTGCGAGGTCATCGTCGACCGCGCAATTTGAGAGAAAAGGCTGTCGCGTGAGCAGCAGCAGCACCGCGTGAGCACCATGGCGAGTCCTCTGTCGCCCACTATTGGCCAAGCACCGGAAGGCGCAGCCAACACCATCCTCACCCCCCGGGACTGGGAGACGTTCACCAGGGACGTCGCTCTGTTGCATGCCAAGTTCCCGGGGGTAACCTTGCTCACATTCGCAATGGGAAGACCGTCCGCTCAGTTGAGATGATGCCCGTGATGTGTCTGTGTGACAGGAGCTCGACGGGCGGCTCAACGCCCTGACGACCGAGGAGGCCCTCGCCCTGCTGGAGCTGGGCGAGAGGCGGATAGCGGAGGAGGAGGAGAGAGAGGTATGCAAAGGGTTACACTCTCTCTGTCGCCCAGCACACCGACACCGGATTCTATCCTGATGTGTTATCTTTTGTTCCTCAGGAGCGTGACGCGGCCCTCAAAGCCGAGGCGGAGGCCCTCAGGGCCGAGGTGGCCGCTATGAAGGACCGGCTGGTACGCATTCGACAAGCGCCGCGTCTCACACACAGCACCTGCACACAAAGATACCTTCGGCACAAATGGTCTGTATGCTGTCTCTTTCAGACTGACCACGCGGGGCTGGAGAGTGAGTTGGCGAACCTGAAGGCCCAGCTGGCCTGGTTCAAGGCCAAGGAGGAGGAGGAGGAGGAGGAGGAGGTGGCTGCCAACCCTCCTCCACCTGCCGCCACCCGCCCGTGCCCCCGCGGCGCCAACACGGAGGACAGCAAGGCACTGCCAAGCCAGGCGGCTCGCAAAGCGGGGGCGTCACAGGTACATGCCCCACTTAACACGCACCATCAGTACGTAGCTCTCTCAGCCAGAGATTCGACCATGTGGTGTGTCCATGTGTGTGTCGTCCGTCAGGTTGATTCAGCGGTGCCAGGAGCCCGCCCTGTTGGCTCCCATGCCATCGCCGCTACCCCTGCCGCACACCACACCCCTCACCCCCGCCCCGCCCCTGTCCATTTCCCCCTCCCGCCCTACCCCTACCCGCCCTACCCCTACCCGCCCCCCCACGTGCGGCTCCCCCTGCTGCCACCACCCCTTCCAGCACCACTGCTGCTCCCGCTCCTCCCACCCCGGCAGCGCCACCACCAGCCGCGCCACCACCAGCCGCGCCACTTCTCGCTGACGCACCAGGCGCGGGACCGGTCGCAGAGCCCCCGTCAGGAGAAGGGGTGGCTCTGCGGCCTCTTCTCACGGTGCTGAGGGCTTCGGCCCTCAGCA